GAAGTCAGAGCTGCTGTGAGGCTCGGGCACCACGAGACGCTTAAGGACACCTTGACCCATGCACTTGAGGTGGAAGCCGTGCGGCAGGATCATCGTTCCCATCACGTCAGGGAGGTTGCAGCAGCTACAGTTCGGGACCGCAATAACGGCTACAGCCCTAGGTGCTACGGCTGTGGGGAAAGAGGCCATCTTCGATCCAGCTTCCCTAAGCGAACTGTAGAAAGGGAAAGTGATCGATCTCGAGAGGGTAGTGCGGCTAATAGCACCGCCTAGCAGCAGCAGGGAACGAGTAAAAGCCAGGACTGCGGGGCGGGTGCTGGCTGATGTTAAAAGAGCCTAAGGATTTTGATCTCACAAACCCATTATGGGAACCGCCTAGTCATCAAGGGCGAGGTCAACGGAACGCTGTGTAAACTGACCATAGACACTGGAGCCTCTCGCACGGTTGTCAGTTCCCAACTTATAAGTCAGTTCCTTGGGGACTCCGCAGACAACCGAGAACGCATTAATTTGGCAACAGCCACCGGTCAGCGCTTACCTGTCCGCGGAGAGAAAGAGATGGAGTTGAAGTTAGGCATCATGATTTACCGGCACAATGTCATCGTGGCTGATATAATGGACGACTGCATCCTGGGCCTAGACTTTATGAGGAAGAATTGTTGTGAGATCGACGTTAAGCAAGGTGTTTTGAAATATGGACTAGAGGAACTTTTCGTGGAAGGGGCGTTACCAGGGAAAGTGTACAGCCTTAAGAAGATTGTTCTTCCACCGAGATCGGAAACGATTGTGCCGGTTAGACTTCCTCGGAATCCTGGGCAAACTCTTCGTTGTGTACTCGTGGAGAGGGTAGACAATGACTTTCCATGGAAAGTTGCTCGAACCTTGGTCAGAACCGCCGACATCTCAGGAGTACGTGTGCTGAACCTTTGTGATCAGGAACAGATTATAGAAAAAGGCACATTGGTTGGTACTAGTGAGGAAGTGGATTGGTTGCGTCGGTGCCAATATCTATCGACTGGGATGGACAAACGAGAGTGACCACACTTTTAGAAGACTGTCGCAGCGTTCTCTCCCTGAATGAAATGGTCAAGGCGAAGAATATATAAATACGCCGATGTTTTCTCGTCAAACGAGGCTGAAATAGGAAAGACTGGCTTAGTTCAACACAAAATAAACACAGGAGAAGAATTGCCTATCCATCAGCGGCCAAGAAGATTGCCTGTAGCACGTGAAATGGAAGTGGAAACCATGATTGAGGGAATGGTGAAGGATGGTGTTATTGAACCTTCATCTAGTCCATGGTGTTCACCTGTGGTGCTGGTAAAGAAGAAGGACGGCAGCGTGCGGTTTTATGTTGACTACCACCATCTGAACGACGTTACTAAGAAGGACAGCTATCCCTTGGCAAGAATTGATGACACGCTGGACCTGCTTACAGGCATAAAGTGGTTTAGTACGCTGGACCTGAAAAGTGGCTACTGGCAGGTTGATATTGACCCTAAGGACAAGGAGACAACTGCATTCTCCACAGGAAAGGGTCTGTGGCAATTTAAAGTCATGCCGTTTGGATTATGCAATGCTTCAGCAACGTTTGAAAGGTTGATGGAGCTTGTACTTACCGGGCTAATTGGAGATGCCTGTCTGGTCTACTTGGATGACATCATCATCGTAGGCCGTACGTTTGGGGAACACCTTCAAAACCTGGAACGCGTGCTCATGAAGATCCAGAGTGCCGACCTCAAATTGAGTCCGAAGAAATGCTCACTATTCAAACGGCAAGTTAGCTTTTTGGAGTATGTAGTGTCGGAAGAAGGTACCCGCACGGACCCAGAGAAAATTGCGGCTGTCAACGATTGGCCGGTTCCAAAAGACAAGTCGCAGGTTAGAGCATTTTTGGGTTTGTGCTCTTATTATTGGCGATTTGTGAAGAACTTTGCAGATATAGCCAAACCTTTGCAACAAGCTAACTGAGGAGAAGCGATATTTCTGCTGGGATGAAAGTTGCGATATTGCATTCCAGGAGCTCCAGAACCATCTGTGCAAAACACCTATTTTAGTGTACCCTGATGCGGGCACCCACGCAATATAATCGATTATGCAAATGCTAAAAATGCAAATGCTAAAAATGCAAATGCTAAATGCTTGCGGAACAAAATGAATGACATTTATGAGCACGTCAGACAGACGGGCCAGCAAACGTCTGAGAAGATGAAAACACGGTTGACCGCAAAATGAATAACAAAGGGTTTGACAAAGGTTCACTAGTGTGGTTACACATTCCAGTTCGCAGCAAAGGGAAATCTCCTAAGTTTCAAGCTAAATGTGACGGACCGTACCGGATTGTGACAAGGATCAATGACGTAACCTACCGGATACAGAAAAGTGCCAGAGGTACTCCTAAGATCGTCCATGTGGATCGACTGGCGCGTTATTATGGGGCTAATAATGCTCGGGACGAGCATATCTTAGGAGGGGGCAGTGTTGCGCGCCACTATTAATGTCTTGTACATGGCAACACTAGTTACCACTAGCGCCCTCTAGTGTCGAGTAGCAGAACTAGGAGAGTCAAGATCCTTCTAGAAATTTCGGGACTGATATGTACTCGAACATTCTAGATGTCGCTACAGTAGAGGGTTCTGGAAACTATCTGAGGCCCTACATAAGGCCGGTATAGACCACGACCGAGTCAGTATTGAATTGGCGATATAAGCGAATACTTCTAAACGATACGAATTACAATTGCGAATTAAAGTGATCTGTAGTACAATTGTTTTGTTATTAGTGTGAATATGAGTTGTAATTAGTGTTCTGTAATTAAAGTGTCAATTTTGGTAATTCACTCGGTAGTTTTTAATTGTCTCGAACCCCAAGCTCGTAACACTATTATGTATGAACTATTATTATTTATCTATTTATTGCATTACAATGTATACGGTTTTTTGTTTTTATTTTAGAACCTATATAATATACTTCCAATAATTTAACTAAAACCTATAACGTGATTGATATAACGTGTGTTACATGAGGTACCTAACAGCATATATTCGTGGTCCTTAGCGGCTATATATCGTCCTTTAAGAGTTATGATAGGATGAATGTAAACAATTAGGTAAGGGGATAAAATATATACTTTGATTAAATGTTTATAAGAATAGCTATAGGAATATTAATGTACAGAGATCGCATTTACGTGGCTTGTTAGGTTTAGACAAAAAATTCTATATGTAGAAGTCTTTGGGTTTAGGTTTCTCTGCGCACATTAACTACCTAGATACTCCGTACTGGCCTATTAGCTAGTAACTCATTATGAAAATTTGATCTATAACAAAAGTTTATAAATTTAAAACTAAATGATGCAAGTTTTTATGATAATATAAATATTTCTCAGATATGTAGGTTTACTTAACCGCACGTGCAAGTTTGTATTTACCGATAGCTTAAATTTCACTGTACGAGTGAAATTCAAGGAAAATAGATGAGCCCCATGCTTAGTTATCAAAGAGCGTATTGGAGAATTTTAATATATTTGTTTTTATAGGATTGGATTAATCAATGGGCAAATGTCTATAATAGGACTTGCCTGAAAACACAATATTATATTTAATACTAATATAAAATAAAGTAATTTAAATAAATAAAAACCCAATAAATGGATGCAATAAACCGGCGGACGATGCGTGCGGTATCGCGGAGCACCACCTTCTGCATTTGAGGCCGGAGCGGTCCGTTACGGAGTCTCAGTTGCCTTAGATGACTCGAGAGGCTGACTAGGGTTAAACCATTCGCAGAAATGACTACAGGAAAAATTTCGAAATTAGACCACTCCACATGTCGGTCACCTCGTGTGCCAGGTCCAGTTATTTTGTTCGCTTATATGTTTCTGATTTTACGAGATTCTGGTGTTACGGATAGTAATACGACCAAAAATATCCTTGAATATGTCCATAGGTTTATTAGCAAGAACAGGCCTGTCTTCCAACGTGCACTCATTTATTCACGCGACCGTAATTCAGAGCGAGCTTCTGGTGTAGATTCTTGGCTACTAGGTTGTGTCTGTGCAAATATTCAGACTTAGTGCCGAATAACCGGAGATGACATGTACACCTGAATGATATTAATTTTTTTTTAAAGAATAAGGGTGATAAATGAGCACACATTCTATCGGATGGTGAGTGTGTGGCCCAGAGGTATCTACGTCTATCCTTGATTAAGAATAAAGATGTTGATGCGCTCTCAACCCTGACTATTAAGATGGAATGTCTCTTTTCCTGTATAAAGGGTCTCCGGTTTTCTACATTCGCCACATGAAACGGAAGCATTAAGCTGTTATTTTACGCTGGTATTCTGTGAGATCGTGGTCCTACCTTGGTCAAGCTGACCCATTCGTACTTTAATTATAATACTTATATTTGCAGCGTGACTCTACATCGTAAAGTCTGTTATATTATACATATATAAATTCTCTTATATGCCGCTACCACAAAAATATACTTACGATCAAGTTGACATAATGATTTATTTCGTATATAGACGTAGAAATAAGTACATATACCTACTTAATTTTTTTAATTTCTCTTATAATTTGTATATATGTGTAATTGGCTTTGTAAGTCTTTTAGTCATGTTAAGATGTTTTGTCAAAACAAAACCAACGAGTGGTGACACAAAACAAAGGATTATCAAACGTTATCGTTTGCGCTTTGCGTTGCTATTGAGCGTACCTACATGAAATCTATTTCTGTGTGCGTTCACGTTTGTATCAAGGTCGTAATCATCAAACATTCATAATAATAATAACATAGATACCAGTATAACGTGTAACGCGTAGGTAATTCAGAGTTAAAGAAATATCTTCGCGTTTAAAATATAAATTCGTGTTATTTATAATAATCATTTTGTGTTTATTATATAATTTTATACAGTGCGCTGTTACAATCGATGTGCATATTTATTGCTCTGTTACTACTAGTACCTATGTTTTTGTGATCAGAAGCCTAACAATGCAAACGTCAAAAATACGTCCTGTCTTTAAGTACGCTGTTATTAATTTTAATTGGTTCAGGTAATATGAATTTCAAAATACTAAATTATATATTAATGTATTCAGTTAATTTACCATTTTCTAGAAAAAAACAACATACGACATAGTTCTAAAAAGACGTAGGTTTATGTTTAGTATGTAATAGGGAATATATATTTATTTTCCGCCGACTTCAAAAAGGAGACGGTACTCAATTCTACTGTATGTTTTTTTATGTGTATTAGGTAGGTACCTCATAACTTTTTACTGGGTGAACCCATTTCAATGATTCTTTTTTTATTTGAAAGCTGGTACATTTCGTGTGGTCCCATATGAATTTGATCAAGGTCAGACCAATCGTTTTTGAGTTATTCTTAATAACTTATATTGAAATCGACTGTACAAAATTTTAAATTGAGGTAACACACATTAAAAAAAACATACAGTCGAATTGAGTACCGTCTCCTTTTTGGAAGTCGGCAGAAAAATGCGGTATTTCTAGATAAAATTACGGTAGATTAACTATACGAAGTGTACCGTGTAAATTACCGTGTAACTTTTCGCAGAAAAATACAATATTATGAACAAAAGCAAGTTCAAATATATTTGCTTTGAATTAATTACTAAGAATTTAAAAAAATATGTTAAAATAAAACAATATTATTCTGAATCTGACTCTTAGCATGAAAATATTTTTTCGTCAATGGATTTATTTATTTTAGTTAACATATCGTTAGTCGGCCTGAAATCAACACAGTTTTTGCTATTTCTTTTCTTTAATTGCTGGGTGAAAAATATTTCCTTTTAGTGTTTTGGTTAAAAGTTTATTTCTTTTTCGTTTTTATATCATTGACTTGGCTAAAAATGCGCTCGCACTCGGCGTTTGAGCACATTACGGTATATAATGGTATTACGGTGACATTGACACGGTAATGTCATATTACCTTGACGGCAGGTTAAGACCAAATGACGGTGCATCTACGGTAATTACCGTGTACATGGAGATACTGGTTTACTTTATAAAAAATGTGATATGGAGCTTTATAACTGCTATAGTTTTTTTAGGGTTCCGTACCCAGACCGTACAGACTCGCGCACCGAGGGTTCCGAACAAATCCGTAGGTATATAATTTTAAAATTATTAAAAATATTTTAATTATATGTAACTAAAAATTTATGTTTTTTTCCTTTTGAGGTACGGAACCCTAAAAAGAGAACCCTTATTTGATCACTTTGTTGTCCGTCTGTCTGTCTGCCAAGACCCTTTTTCTCAGGAACGCGTGGAGGTATCAAGCTGAAATTCATATCAAATACTCAAGTCTATTGTTCCTTGGAGCTGTGAAAAAATCAAACTTCTTAGCCAACGCAATCAAAAGATACAGCCGTTTATGCCGCAAATTTTCGACATTCGCAAGGGAATCAAAACCTACAGGGTACTTCCCGTGAACTCAACATCTTAAAATTTGGTACGAAGCAACGTATTATTAAAACGCACAGATAAAGTTGAAATTGCGAAAAGCATACATTTTTAGTTACATCATATAATAAAAATATTTTTAAAAATTTTAAACTTATATACCTACGGATTTGTTCGGAATCCTCGGTGCGCGAGTTCGACTCGCACTTGACCGGTTTTTTATAAGGTAGAGAAATGCAGCGCTCTACATGGTCTTCTGCCATGTGCTGTACGAATGAATCGTCTGGATCAAGATTCGTAAATTAGCTGCATGTTCGTGTGTTTCTGTTTATGTGCATTTGTCAATATCTTAATTTTATCTATTAAATTACAACATTAAAGTGTGGAAATAAACAGTACACGTAACACGTGAGTAAATGTCCTCGTGGATTATAAAATGATTGAGTTATAATGTACATACTACGTACAACGTAGGTACTCAATGTATAAAACCTGTCCTGCGCGACTTGTCTCCGTGACCGAAGTTCGGTCTAGAGGACAATAATAATTTTATTTCTTGATGCATTCGTAATAAGTTTTATTCTCACATTATTACGTCTGATTCAATTCATATGCCTGGATTTTTAAAAATAATATTTAGAAGTAGGTTTGTAAGGATTTTTAAAATATTAAAATTTCAGAGGTGAAAGATATATTATGAATATATGGGCTATGATAGAAGATTATGTTCATCTTAGTTAGTAAGTACACCGTTAGTGAATTGTTAGTTCTGTATTCGAATTCATTTATCAATACTTCAAAGTAATTCATCTTGGGTTATAGCTACTGATTATAATGTCCAGGCTCTACATCCAAAACGGGAGAGAGAGTGTGGAGGAGTGAGAGCTGTGTGAGAATGGTTCCGCGCGGACTGTTATGATATTTTGATGGCTTAGCTTGTGACTATTACTTTAGTTACAAGTAATTAGCACTCTTGTAGTGGCGGTGGAAGAATAACCCTTATCACTTACCGTTTTGTAAATGTCGTAAGAGGCGACATGGAGAAACAAAGGAGATGGACAGTAATATTTCTCTAACAATAACTAGAAAAACAAATGTGATTATTTGTCAAGCTCAGGCGTGGCAATTATGGCAAATATCCCCCTTATGCGGCAATATGGACTTTTTTAGGGTAGATAAATGGATTAATATTAGCAATGTTTTGTTTTCATATCGTAGGCGTTAAAAAACTTTAGCGGATAGAGAGTTATTTAAACAAAATCCTTTAATATTAATATCAATGAAATTCTACTCCTGGGCACAATTCATTTTGGTCATATAGTGGAAGAGGAGCAGTTTGTTCCCGAATTATATTTGGTTTCTTAGACACTTTATACCTATTCTGTGTTTTTTTATATTGCTGAGAATGTAGTACATAAAACGGTACTCGAATATGAGAGCTAATAATGAGGTGAAGTTTATACTATAATAAAAACATGTTCCTGTAGGTTTGTTTCGACTGTCAACAACATAGCAGTAAACACATCTGAAACGACACGGAAACTGAAGTCATGGGAGGAGATTCCTGGTCCATCGTCTTTGCCAATTATAGGTGCTCTTCATCATTTTCTTCCAAATGGTAAATAAATTAAAAATATTAATCAATTATACTAACATAAAAAGGTGTTTATTTTTCTTCTTTCTGAAAATCGTTGACCAATTGTTTATTATTACCTGATAACATTGTTTTACTTTGCGATCGTTAACACTAACAGAAGCATAATATGCTAGATATTATCTAACAAAGTGTTTACCAAAGAGCGATAAAATTAAATGGGTTTGCTTGAAGATAACTCTTACTATATCAGGGTATTATATATTTCAAATTGTTATCAACTTATAGTGTTTACTGTGTACAATAAAGAATATTGAAAAAATCTATACAAATATAGATTATTTTTTATATTCTTCAATTAAACTTTTTTTTTATAATATAGGGTGACAAACGAGCACACAGTCCACCTGATGGTAAGTGGTTACTGTGACCCATAGACTTCTTGCATTCGTTCAAGAATTATTAACTGATTAATTAATAATTATGAAAGTTCACAACCATACCATATTAAATTCCAATGATAGATGAGTAAATGAAAGAGGTGATTGGGGAACTCGAAATTCTCATAACACCCGTGTAACATCTCAGGGAAGAAGGAGTGCCTGAAAACCAGCGCTTCATGGGATCTAGTTCCATGTGAGCAAAAGCTGAGTCACCTCCGTTTGCCTAAATTAAATTAAGATTAAATAATTAGTTTATATGTAAACATGTGTTTAAAAGTGGCAATAAAATGATATTTATATATATATATATATATATATATATATATATATATTCATACGAAACACAGCAGCGTTAAGCTGCTATTTTACGCTGGTTTACTGTGAGAGCGTGGTCCTTCCCCGGTCGAGCCGACCCATTCGTGCTACAAATATACTACTAACTGCAGCATGGCTCTACCACGTATAAAACTTTGTGGTGTTTCATTGCTATATAATATATTATAGTACGTGAGGGTAATATGGCCATCCGGTTAATATGTTCACTTTCTTATAATTCAATAACTACAGCCTTGTTTGCATATGTGACTCTGTGATACGATAGCTCTGTATCAGTCAATCAAATAATAAAGAGTCAAAAGGGCGCTGCTATATTGACGACATTTTGACAGTTGAGAATATAGTAAAAATTTTAGTCGATTTTAGTGTAGTGTTGTTAGTTTTTTATAAGTTGATTTTTCGAAGTGGAATTATTGACAAAGCTTGTTTGCTATTTTTTTTCTTAATATACAAGTTATAGTATACGACTTTGTGTTTTTGTCACTGTCCTTCTCCATGTTTTGGTTTTATAGGGCGGCAAAGCTTAAGGTGACCATATTACCCTCACGTACCTTACATCGCGTTAAAATTAACAAGACATCGGGTAACGTTCTGGTCAATCCACCTGTTATTTTTAACTTTTAAGAAAACCACTTGAAGCGACAACTAGGTTTTATAGTGTCTAATAGTAGGTACTAACATGCAAAAATAAACACTTTCTCACATTCTCATATTCTGATTATGATTCAACGAGAGCAATAATTATTTGAGACAGAATGCATTGCTAAAGGCATTAGCTATGTGCCCCAGTTGTCATAGTATTTATGCAACTGTTGGCTTAGGGTTTGAATCTTAACTTAAATAAATTCTTGTGCAAATCAGGTTACCAACCTGTTCCGCTTGTAACATCTGCTATATAAAAATATAACAAACTTATTTAGTCTATTTGTAAGTTTATATTTTGCATGTGGTTGCGAAATTGGTATTTTTGATAAAATTACAGAAATACCAGGAAACTGGTTATAGGCACATGCGTCTACAATATAGTTATAAATTAAATTGCATCAAAACTTATTTATATTACAGACTGTCTTGGTTTTCTCCAAAAACACCAAATTCTCTCTCTACAATAGTTATAGTATCTTTATATAGATATTGTTTTAATTTAATATAGGTCTTCTGTACACAACTGAGGGATTTGAGATGCAAGAACGATTATATAAAGCGTTTGGACCCATCGTGAAACTGCCCGGTATGTTTGGTGCACCGAGTTTAGTTTTACTTTTTGATGCAGAGAGTATGGCACATGTAAGATATTACTTATCTTTTTTACCAGTATATATTTTTTATCTTATTCAGTATGAATATTGATATGAGATGTAAGCGGGAACATGCCAATTATTTCCACGAATGCCTTTGAGTCCAATTTGTATCAATTGATGACGGGGCGTAATGTTTTAATTAAGGACGAGTCTTCCAAGTAAACCTAGCGAACCGACGCATTTTAGACAGGTCTGTGTTCATTAGAAGACCTAAAAAGTGGTAAAATTAAAATTTTTGTACAATCAACTTCAATAAAAATTATTAACGATAACTCAAAAACTACTGCTCACGCCTTGATCAAATTTATATGGGACCACAAGAGAAGCACCAGCTTTCAAACAAAAACAAGAATAATCAAAATTGGTTCACCTAGAAAAAAGTTATGAGGTAACACACATAAAAAAAAAACAAAAAAATGCAGTTGAATTGAGTACCTCCTCATTTTTGAAGTCGGTAGAAAAGACTTTTGATATAATGTTATGTGAGAGATTAATGTTAATAAATTTAATCATTTCTACAAAAGAAAATGTCTATGTCCACCAGTGGCCTGTAACGAGCTGATAAAGAAGAATAAAATGTATTGGTTAATATATTCTCCTTTATATTCATCGTCACCATTACAGTCTTTCACAAGTCCACTGCTGAACATAGGCCTCCCCCAAGTTATGCCACAAAGCATAGTCCTGAGCCACCTGCATCCATCGACTACCTGCATGTCTTACCAGGTCGTCACTCCATCTAGTGGGGAGGGGGGAAGTCCACTCAAGAACCTTTTTTCCCCATCGGTTGCCGGTTCTTCGAGTTATATGGCCGGCCCATTGCCACTTCAGCTTACTGTTTCATTGGGCTATGTCCATCACTCTGGTTATATTGCGGATATCCTCATTCCTGAGTTTATCACGCAACGAAACCCTAAGCATAGCCCTCTCCATAACTCGCTTAGCGACTTTGAGCGTCCTAATACGGCCAGCATTGAAGGAGCAAGTCTCAGATTCATAAGTCATCACTGGCAACACGCACTGGTTGTACAATTTCGTTTCATTTTTTGAGGTATACCTGATGAGAAGATGTGTCGTAATTTTCCGAACGCTGCCTAGCCGAGTTGAATCGGTTGATTGACCTCTCGGTCGAAGTTGGACTTACCTAGTCGGACTAATTGTCCCAGGTAAACATACTCATCAACAACTTCGAGCTTAGTGCTCCCAACAACTACCGGCATAGATGTGACATGGACATTACACATGATCTTTGTTTTGTCCATCTTCTTCTTAAGACCTATCCGTTGGGAGCACAATTGAAGTCATTGAGCATAGTGCTTAGGGCCTCCAGCGATTCTGCCATAAGGACTATATCGTTGGCAAATCGAAGGTGAGTGATGTACTCACCGTTGATGTTAATACCGTATCCTTTCCAGTCCAGTAGCAACGTAAACGCCTTCCAGTGCAACGGTGATGAGTTTCGGGGATATAAACTCACCCTGTCTTACACCTTTCTGTAGTTGGATAGGTTTCGTACTCTGGTTCTGTACTCGGATAGCTATCGTAGCCCAACTGTATAAACACTTTAGCACTTCGATATACCGATAGTCAACTTGGCACCGCTGAAGGGACTGTAGTGCCGCCCAAATTTCGACGGAATCAAAGGCCTTCTCATAGTCCACATACGCTAGGCAGATTGTATTCTTTAGACTTCTGTACAATTTGCCGAAGGATATGTATGTGGTCTATAGTACTAAAGCCTTTTCGGAAACCAGCTTGTTTGGGAGGCTGGAAGTCGTTGAGTCTACGTGCGAGACGATTCGTAATGACTCTCGAAAACAGCACGTAGACGCGGCTCAGAAAGAAAATTGGTCTGTAGTTTTTCAAGAGAACGTTGTCGTCTTTCTTGAAGAACAAGATCACCACACTTCTGCTTCACGCCTCCGGAGTAGTCTCACCATGGAGGACGGAATTAAAGAGCTTCTGAAGGACTTTGAGTAACCGTTTTCCACCCGCTTTCAGAACCTTCGCTGTAATTTCACCCTCGCCCGGTGACTTGCCGTTTTTAAGGTGCTGGAGAGTCATTCCAATCTCGCATCTAAAGACTGACGTCCGGGATATCATCGGAATAGTGTCGGATAAGACTTGCTCTTGAATCGTTACTCACAGTTGCGTATGGCGCCAATGACGACGTGTACAGCTGTCTATAGAACTTCCCAATCTCACTCAAAATCTCAGGTGCGTCCGGAACTTGAAATTGTTGTCATCAGGAAGTCGCGGCTGCTCATCTCCTACCTGTTTCCTATTGTCGCCTCTTACGACACCCACGAGAAGATATGGGGTAGTGAATATTCTTAACCACCAGTACACTCTCCTTTATGTTGCATGATATTTATTGAAGTGCTCGCATAACGTTTCATAAGTGTCTTCAATAGCTTATTTCAAACTACTGTAGTTACCTTATACCGTACGTTTTTTACAGGTTCTGCGAAGTGAGAACTGGATGCCGAAGCGTCCTGGGTTCCAATCATTACAACATTATAGAAAAGAATATAAGAAAAGTGATGGCAATCCTGACAGAATTACGGGACTTGTAACTGAGTACGTTTACTATGTAATTATTAAATAATTTTTTATCTTTTTAGAGGTAAAAAATATTTGAATCTATGGGACACCGAGAGGCTGGCTATTTTGCTCCTATGCTCGAGACTGGCAAGATTGGCTTTTAATTTATTTTATTTAAAAAGAAATTTAGTAATGCTATTAAACATTACTAATATTCCCTTTAACCACCTCTGGTAAGCTTAAAATGCTTGTGTTAGAAGTGGTTCACGACTTTATTCGAATGGCGGATTCGAATCCACGATCTTTCGAGTTCGCAGTCCGTGCCCAGCCATTAGGTTACTGACGATTATAATTTGATTTAATTTTCTTTTAATTGAATGAATTCATGCACTTTATTTTTAGCATATATAGGTATATTTTGGATTTTTGGAACGAAGTTCCTTATCGGACGATACGAATTTTGCGGCTAGAAACAATTATAATTCTTAACGTACTTAATGTCATCATTTTGTGTTTTTATTATTATTGGAACGAAGTTTCTTAGACGGTACGAATTTAACAGACTAGGCAAAAAAAAGTGTAAGATTTTTCGGCCACGACCCCATCTGACGTAGTGTAGACGGCCTTGGCGGCTATAAGGACGCGAGATGAAATAATATCCATCTCCCTCGCACTTTTTCTTATCTTGTCATGAAGGAAATATAATTTTATTTTAAATGACGCTTCATTTTAATAGACGCTAGTAATTCATTTATTGGTATCCGTTAATCACTAATATAATACGTTTATCAATAATAATACACTACGAAAGGAACTTCGTTCCAACCGAGTGTTCCATTCCACGACACTCACGCATATTTTTTGAGTTAGGTTTACGATTCTTGTTCTGCACTTCAATCATTGCTGGTGTATCATCTGTCTGTCTCTTTATATTTTAGTGAACCATATTTATATGATGCAATCTTATCCAGCGACGGGTTAGTTATTTATTTCCATAGTAAAATCATATTATGTGTAGTACATATGGTATAATTATTAATTAAGTGTTAATAATTGTAATTATGCTATTTTCAAATACCCGCCTTCAATTACGGCGTAATTTTTTTCAAATTAGATGCTTTTAATTCTTTTATTATATTTTCATCTTTCACTTGAAGTATGGTTCACGAAAAGGCATGAGTAATTTTGGTCTAGTGTTTTTTAGATACACCACACTATTGAGTTCTCATAATAAACTTCGTTATAGAAACGTGACAATATTGATAATATACTACTCGTAATTATTATATTTATATAAAACTGCAAACATATATTATTAGGTTTCATAAATTATTCTTTGTCAGTCAAGGCGAACAATGGAAGAAGCTGCGCTCCATGGTTAATCCTGTGATGCTGCAGCCGAAAACTATAAGGCTCTACTCCACGATACTTGACGAAGTAGCTGTAGATATGATTGAAAGGTAAGCTACTAAAAATTAGCGCATTCCATAGATTTCAGAAGTACAAAAGACGGATGTTGTTATTCGCACAAGCAAAAAATAAAAATAATAATTAATGTCTTACATTTACAAAATGTAGTGGCGGTGCCGTATAGTGGAGGTTAAGAATATCTACTACCCCATATCTTCCCGTGGGTGTCGTAAAAGGCGACAAAGGGGAAGAGGCAGGAGATGGGCAGCAGCATCTTCCTGATAACAGCAAAAATACAATAAAAGAAATTGCGGTTGCCAACCCACCCGCCAAGCGTGGCAACTGTGGCAAATACCTCCCAAATGGATAAAGTTACTAAGAGACGGCCCAGTCCCCAGTGGCCACGCTATTCCTGGCTACGGCGACCATGGTAACTGCGGGGCAGGGGGTGCTAAGAATCTCCGGTGGAGGTTCGGTTGCCACCTACGACGACTCGATCTGGCAACATACAACGCACGCACCCTGAGGACTGACGAGAAGATTGTGGAGCTGGAAGAAGAGATAGACAAGTTACGCTGGCATATTATAGGATTATTCGTAAGTCCAAAGATAAGTCCAAGATAAGTCCAAAGAGAGGGGGAGGAAACGGTAATCCTCGAATCCGGCAGCTTGCTCTATTACCGGGAGGGCAGATGGTCTGTCCCAAGGAGGTGTCTGATTTATCGTCCACAAGTCTCTCGTTAACAACGTTGTAAAGATTGAGTGTGTCGACGAGGGTTGCGTACCTTATACTCAGAATCACCAAACGGTATTCGCTGAATGTCATACAGGTTTACGCACCAACCTCGCCATACCTCGATGAGGAGGTGGAGGAAATGTATGAGGATATCTCTAGAGCCATGCATTCCTCCAAAACCCAATATACGGTATAAATGAGGGACTTCAATGCAAAACTAGGCACAAGAGAGAACGGTGAGCTGTAAGTAGGGAAATTTGGAATTGGGCAACGGAACCCAAGGGGCCAGCAGCAGGCCGACTTCACGGAGAAAGAGGGACTCTTTATGATGAACTCTTTCTTTCAGAAGCGGCCCCATAGGAAGTGGGCCTGGTCGAGCCCCGACAGTTCGACTAAAAATGAGATTGACTTCATTATGACGACCAGACGACAACTGTTGAATGGTTAGAGGCACACTGAAACTAAACGTTAAGTTGGAGAGGTCTCATCTAATGAAGTCAACGCTCCGTTCCCCTCGTGCTCTAATCCAAAGTCCCGAAACCTTTCAGCTCAAGTTACGAAACCGTTTTCAGTGCCTAGAAGACTCCATGAAGTGGACGATATGAATGACAAGCTCGTGGAAACGGTCCATGCGGTCGGAGCTAAGTTCTGCAAGACCCGCCGCAGAAGAAACACAAAAACTCTCCGATCACACTCTTAATCTCATGGATGTTAGACGGGAGATGAAGCTACATTCTTCAACAGATTTGACAGCAAACAGGCAACTGAACAGACAGATCTCCAAATGCATACGGCGGGACTTACGCAACTTCAATACAGCTCGTATTGAAGAAGCGATCGAGCAGAACCAAGGCTCCAAAGTCTTTGCCAGAGATCTGTCTGCCAGAAAGAGCCAACTGCCAAAGCTGAAGACAGAATGTGGCAGCATCGTTTCCGGGGCACCTGTGATTTTGAGTGAGATTGAGAGGTTCTATGGGCAGCTGTACACGTCATCGTTGGAGCCACACGCAAGTGTGAGTAACGATCCAAGAGCGAGTCTTATCCGACATTATTCCGATGATATCCCGGACGTCAGTCTGAGCGAGATTAGAATGGCTCTCCAGCACCTTAAAAACGTCAAGGCCCCTGGCGAGGATGGAATTACAGCGGAGCTTCTGAAAGCGTGTGGAAAACCGGTACTTGAAGTCCTTCAGAAGCTCTTTAATTCCGTCCTCCATGGTGGAATTACACCGGAGGCGTGGAGCAGAAGTGCGGTGGTCTTGTTCTTCAAGAAAGGCGACAACGCTCTCTTGAAGAACTACAGACCGATTTCCCTTCTGAGCCGCGTCTACGTGCCGTTTTCGAGAGTCATTACGAATCGTCTCGCGCGCAGACTTGACGACTTCCAGCCTCCCGAACAAGCCGGTTTCCGAAAAGGCTTTAGTACCATAGACCACATACATACCCTTCGGCAAATTGTACTCCTGTGACTTTTGTATCTTTTTGTACTTTTTGACTTATGTCTGGCGTATGTGGACTATGAGAAAGCCTTTGATTCTTGGCATTGCTGCAGTCCCTTCAGCGATGCCAAGTGGACTGTCGGTATGTCGAAGTGCTGAAGTGCTTGTACAGTAGGGCTACGATGGCTATCCGAGTACAGAACCAGAGTACGAAACCTATCCAATTACAGAGAGGTGTAAGACAGGATGATGTTATATCCCCGAAACTCTTCACCGTTGCACTGGAAGGCGTTTACGTTGCTACTGGACTGGAAAGGATACGGTATTAACATCAACGGTGAGTACATCACTCACCTTTGATTTGCCGACGATATAGTCCTTATGGCAGAATCGCTGGAGGACCTAAGCACTATGCTCAATGACCTCAATAGTGTTCCCAACGGATAGGTCTTAAGAAGAAAATGGACAAAACAAAGATCATGTGTAATGTCCATGTCACACCTATGCCGGTAGTTGTTGGGAGCACTAAGCTCGAAGTTGTTGATGAGTATCTTTTCCTGGGACAAATAGTCCGACTAGGTAAGTCCAACTTTGACCGAGAGGTCAATCGACGGAATCAACTCGGTTGGGCAACGTTCGGGAAATTACGGCACATCTTCTCGTCAGGTATACCTCAAAACTTGAAAACGACACTGTACAACCAGTGAGTGTTGCCAGTGATGACATACGGAACTGAGACGTGGTCCTTCACTGCTGGCCGGATGAGGAAGCTCAAGGTCGCTGAGCGAACTATGGAGAGGGCTATGCTCGGAGTTTCTCTGCGTGATAAACTCAGAAATGAGGATATCCGCAGTAAAACCAGAGTGACCGACATAGCTCAACGGATTAGTAAGCTGAAGTGGCAATGGGCCGGCCATATAGCTCGAAGAACCGACAACCGATGGGGAAGAAAGGTTCTCGAGTGACAGCCTCGTACCGGCAGGCGAAGTGTTGGGCGTCCCCCCACTAGATGGAGTGCCGACCTGGTAAGATAAGCAGGAAGTCGATGGGTGCAGGTGTCTCAGGACCGTGCTTTGTGGCATTTCTTGGGGGACGCCTATGTTCAGCAGTGAACTTGTGAAGGGCTGTAATGATGATAATGATGATGATTTACAAAATACACAAGAAAGATAACCTGTGATTGGTTACAACTATTAAATAATTTATTTACGCCCGCACTATTCTATTTTACACACGTGCAGTAGAGATAGGAATTGATAAACGTTGAAAAAAACATATTATCGAAATATCACTTCAGCAGCGGCAAGCTTTCTGAGTATATTCCGTCGCATATAAAATACAGTAGAGCGTCGATTATCCGAACGTCGATCACCGAACTATCGCTTAACCGAACTACTGCCACGCTGAGATGCAACTACCACAGCAGCCCTTCCCACCGCCCCCGCAGCGCCCAGTGTAGTGTTGGCCTACGTTCAGTACCGATAGCACTGTACCTCTGTTCGCACACTCAGTCAGCGTAAGCACTCTATTACGATCACTTTCGTGTATTAGTTTTGCCCTATTAGCTTACAATTTAAAATGCATAAACGTAAAGGTGTAGTTCTTTCCATGAGAGATAAATACGAGATTAACAAACGATTAGAGAAAGACGAAACTGCAACCAAGTTGTCTACTGAGTACAAAGTGGATAAGTCGACCATTACGGATATAAAAAAAGCAAAACACGACCATATAAAATTTTATATCCCAGCTTGATTCTACTGATGGGTCGACAAGTCGTCAAACTATGAACTTCGTCACGAATATCGATTTCAGTGACGCTGTATACAAGTGGTACACAAAAAAGATCACTAGGAGAACCTATCTCTGGTCCCATTCTATGTGAAAAGGCAAAACAATTTAATAAAAACTTAGAGGGCCGTCGAACTTTCAAGCAAGCACGGGCTGGTTAAAACGGTTTAAGTCAAGAAATTGCATTCGAAAGCTTCAAATACAAGGAGGAAAATTGCCTGCTGATACTTCAGCAGCTGATACTTTCAAAATAAAAGTAAGCGACGTATTGAAACTTGAAGATTATGCTCTGGAAAACGCTGACGAAACTGTGCTCAATTGGAAGGCTTTGCCACGAAAAACTCTTGTTTTGCGTCGTGAATTAGCGGCACCTGGTCCTAAAGTAAACAAGGATCGTATCATTGATCTAACTTGTGCTAATGCAACTGGTACCCACCGATTGCCTATGCTTGTTATTGGTAAAAGCAAGAAACCGCGTTGTTTCAAACACGTAAATATGTCTGCAATGCCTATTGTTTACACGTCACAAAAGAGCGTCTGGATGAACAGTCCAATTGTCACGGAATGGTTTATAGAAGTTTTTGTACACGCTGTAAAAGCCTGTCAGCTAAAGAATGGCAAAAGAGAGAAAACTTTATTGCTCCTTTATAATGCAGCAACTCATCTATCATGTGACATCCTAAATGGAAAAGATGAATTTATAAGGTGATGTTTCTTCCACCTAACGTAACCTCTTTATTACACCCCATGGACCTATGTGTTATTAAGACTTTCAAGCGATATTACAGAAAATAATTGCTACGTAAGTTGTTGCTAGAAAGAGAAGAGGAGGCAGAGGAAAGTCTTATTAGAAATTATATAAAGATTGATTTAAAAGGTGCATTCTACATGATTGGAGCAGCTTAGGACAGTTTAAAAGGACAGAATGAAAAAAAACCCTCGAATATCCCAAGGTGAAAGTGGAAATGAAGAACAGAATGATATGTCTGAAATGCTAAATATGCTTCAAGAACTCAATTGTCAAGAATTTGTTGAAGACGTGCAAGAACGAATTACTGACGACGATTCAGATGCAGGGCACAAATCTTGCAGGATAGCGAAATTGTAGACCTCGTTGTCGTGAGTGACAAAGCTGATGCCGCCAGTACGTCATCAACTAGTGGTTCAGAATATAAAGACAAAAATATACCTACTGCTTCTGAAGCGTAGCTTAGATACTGCCTTGCGTTGGTTTGAAGCTCAAGATGAATCAGTATCAGATATCTGTTCTGAAAAAAGTGCGTGACTTAGCTGCGCGTAAGAAGGTAGGTTCGCTGCGATAGACCAAAATTAAGGACTTCTTTAAACTTTGATTTTATAAGTATACTGTATGTTCAATATTGATTATACAATATTTTTTGTTTACTAAGCTATCTGTACTTCATTTATATTCGTACTTACAACTGTAATAAACAAAATTTGTATTACACATAAATATGTTTTATTGGTACATTGGTACATAAAATTATACCATTCGATTATCCGAATGACCCGTTTTCCGAACACCCATGTCCCCCAATTAGTTCGGATAATCGATACTCTACTGTAATTGTTTTATATTTTACGAGCGACCCGGTCCAACTACCGTGATATTTTTCATTATAACACTTACTTTTAATGTAATTCTTACAAAACCAATCGATTTATATATTTGTCGGAGCGTCTATAAAATACCCGGTTGGATCGAGGTAGAATGGAGGGTATATCGAGAAACCCCCTCTTGTGTCGGTAGTATAAAGTTCACTGTAGGTGCCGTGCGCGGGAGAGTTCGCTTAAGTCATTCAACGAGTGTGGTCATTCTACTAGTGCTAAGAAAGTGTCGTGGTTTTGTTCGTTGTTGTAATTCTTCTAGTGCAGGCAAGGAGGATTAGTGTTGCTGAGAGGCTGCCCTGTGTTACATTGAGATAAGTAGTGTTGCTGTTGGTTTACATATTTTGGTGTTATCATGTAATTACGTACCTCACGTTACACTGGTGTGTGATTGTGGCAGAGACGTGTTACGGTATGGTCGAACTGTAATTTCACTATACTGAATGTATAGTGCGTTACGTTGTCTTATTACTGATAATGATTAAATTGCGTAAGCAAGAGAGCAAGTTGAACATCCGCTCTCACACTTTTATTATTTTTAACAGTTAACGCTATCCTGATGTATTTCCAAGATCAAAATTGGAATCCTCTGTTGTAAATCTCCGACATCAGAAGTGGGATCTCCTGTTGTCATTTCCGATATATTTAAATAATAATGTTGAAATATTCATTGACTAATTATACCGGGTATGGGCCTAATATTCAAAATAGTAGAACATACCTTGCGCTTTCGCTTAAGGCATGCAAGTGTTTTGATGCTGTTTATGAAGTAAAGAAAGCATTGAAAGACTTTCTTCAATTTTGGCCCACACAGAGCTCTTACTTATGTTAAGAATTGGGTCTTTACAATAGAATTAACGGTACCTCGTCAAAAAACAATAAGTCAAAATGTAAAATTAAAAATAAATAATGATATTATTTATGCTCAAAGAGCCCCGGGCAAGGATGCAATCACGGCGGAGCTTCTGAAATCGGATAGAATACCGTTACTTGAATTCCTCCAGAAGCTTTTGAATTTCGTCCTCCATAGTGGCACTATTTCGGAGATGTGGAGCAGAACTGCGGAAGTCTAGTTATTCAAGAAAGATGAGAATACGCTTTTGAAGAACGAAACTAAGCTGTAATCCCATATGAGACGTGTCTACGTGAAGATCCTTAATTATATTATTCAATTATTGTTATATAAAGGTTTGGATTTATACTAGCTGTGACAAAGTACACCACATGTAGTATAGATCACCGTTCCGCTACAATTTCCATATGTTACTGCGAAAGTAACTGCAATACGTCGGAATTCGGAAAAATAATTTTTGTTCGTCCGGACCAAAAAAAGGACAGCTTTCCGCCCATATTACATAATTCTTGTACTTCTGATATACGCTTGTAACGATTGTGTTTTTAAAAATAAATATTGATATTGATATTAATAATATTCCCGTAAACCATCAAGAAAATGAAAACAAATCTCATGCCACATTCGGGGAACTTTACAACAGTAAATTTTACTTAAAAAAACGTTCGAAAAGAAAAAGACGAGACATTTCCTTTCAAATGCTGGTGCCGGTACTAATGTGAATAATGAAATTCAGTAATAAAATATGTAATATGTAAAGTTCGTAATCCAATGTAGGTACGTAAGTAGCGCGATGGACTCTCCTCTATTGAAATTATTTTTCAAAAGTGAGAACAGGCTAATAAGCAGTAGTAGGACGTGTGCAAATTTTTACTTCGTTTTATTTACCGCTGTAATTTAATCGCAATCCAATAACTTTTATATTTGAGCAAACAGAGCTATTCATTCAAGTGTTCCGTTTTGCTTACTTTGGTACAGACTTTTAAAATGTGGAAAGTTTACATTTCTTGTTAAATTTTACTTTTAAAATGAAATTTATGTATAAAAATTGCTTTTTGTTTCAGGATGAGATCAATTCGTGATGAGAATAATATGATAAGAGGTGATTTAAGCGAAGAAATGAACTTATGGGCTTTGGAGTCTATTGGGGTTGTAGCACTCGGCGGTCGCCTCAATTGCTTTGATCCTAATCTACCTGCGGATTCTCCTGTGAAAAAGCTCATTCAAATAGTACATGACTTTTTCAATACCGCGAACAAGTTAGATTTTCAACCGAGTCTATGGCGATATTACCCAACTAAAACTTACAAGAGAGCGATGAAATTATATGAAGAGCAAGAAAAGTAAGTTATAAAAATATCATGAACTTTTTTAATCTATATATGTAAAAATTATTTAATTTCAATTTTATTGCTAATACCTTTCAGCTTGAATAGATATTTCATTAAAAATGCCATGGACAAGTTACAATCAAAAAACAGTTCAGAAAATGAGAAAGGAATTTTAGAGAAGCTGCTTGAGATTGACGAACACGTTGCAATTTTAATGGCGAGCGATTTGTTATTCGCGGGTGTTGACACCGTAAGTTATTTACGCCAAATAAAATTTATGCAGATCTGATCATTCTGTGTGGTATTTGGTTTCATACTTAATAACCTGTAATTAATATTTATAATTATAGGCAGCCCATACAATAATACCAATATTTTATTTTCTGGCAACAAATCCTGAAAAGCAAAATAAATTGAGAGATGAACTATTATCGAAATCGGATAAACGACCATATCTGAAAGCGTGTATTAAAGAAGCTATGCGAATGATGCCAGTAGTGGCGGGTAATATGAGAGAAACTTCGAAAGAGTACAACTTACTTGGATATAAAATACCAAAACAGGTGAGAAAATATAGTTTATTATTGCTCTTTTTTACCTAACAGAAGTGAAGGAAGTTATTCCATAGTCTTGACTTAGACTTGACCTTGTTTCGTTATAGTTAACAGTTTTGTTATGGCCAAATACTCAAACGCTAGGTACTCAATTTTAAGATGTTAAGTCTTGTGTTGTCAGAGTCACTTTGAGTTAAAGTGATAAGGACAGCACGAGACTTAACGGCGTCCTAAAATTGAGTAGTATTTGAGTATTTGGGCATTAGTGTCAAAAATTAAAAAAAAAGTATTAAGACAAATTTAGTTTAACATATAAGTTTAAAACTGAGTCAAATTTCAGCACTTTCACAACTGAGTGTGGGGCGTAATTTTATTATTGGTTAGCAAGTAGACTGTCGATGAGAGAAAATATTATCATTTTTTATTCTCTCAGATAAAAAGCTATTCGTGTAGATATTTTAGAAATGTTTTGCATAGTATTCATGTTTAGTATGTGTAGTATTCTAGTAATATCAGCGGCAGTAGGTGTAGAACCTTACATCTACTGTCGCTGATATTACTTGACATGTATTTCCGTATTTTTACAAATTTAACAGTAGTTGGTTGAATTTAGGTCTCTGCTTAAAGACACATTTTCTTTGCTAACCAATCGTGAATCTTGCTGATCAATTAAGTATTTTGTGGATTGACTGTTTATTAAGCAAACTCATATTATTATAATCTGCCTATTTATGCTTAAATTACTGAACATTATCAAGATCATTTGCGAAACAAGAATTGTCGAATATTTTATATAATTGCAAACAGAATATTTGAACGCTAACCAAATCATTTAAATGCTGTTTTTTGTGGATAACCAAATTTTATTACGGTTTAACATTTAATTACTTCTCATTAATAAAAACTTATCTCGTTGGATGCAGCTGTTACTTATAATAGTATAACAAAACGGAAAATATTGAGTTCTGAAGTCTATTTTGAATAAATTTCAATGGGATATGTGTTTGTGTTTTAATATTTGTGATATATGAAAGCCTATGTTTAGCAGTAGACTTTTATAGGCTGTAATGAATTAAGAAGAAAAATATATTATTTGTTTCAGACTTATGTGACATTCGCACATCAGTATACTTCTATGATGGACTCTCATTACCCGAGACCACGCGAGTACATTCCGGAACGATGGGTAGTTGATAAAGACGATCCCTTGTACCACGGCAATGCTCATCCGTTTGCCTTTAGTCCTTTTGGATTTGGAGTCCGAGGCTGTATAGGTAAGTCCATTTTTGATTTTAGTTTTAAAACTTACTAATGGTCGCCCAGTTGTCGAAATTTGACCGTAACGTTCATATTCAAATCTCAGTATATATGTATTTTTATGCTATATGCTTTCAACTGTTTTACATACTACTCATATATACACATAAAATATAAAATAAAGACATACTTTTTGACATACACTACACAGACTATTGAAAAATGAACATTAGAAATCACACACAGAAATTGGTTCCATGTTAATAATTTGCATTTAAATGGCACTAAAACAAAATGTATGAAATTCGTGACTCCAAATGTCAAACAATTAAATACTAATGTAATTTTAAATGGGGAGAAACTGAGTCTTGTAGATACCACCATTTTTCTTGGAATCACACGAGACGCGAAGCTTCAATGGAGCCCCCATATGTCAAAACTAGCAAGCAGACTTAGTTCTGCAGCATATGCTGTAAAAAAGATTAGAAGTCTAACCAGTGTTGAAACAGCTAGACTAGTTTACTTTAGCATAGCATAATACGCTTTTACAACAAAATTCCAGAAAATATACAAAGTTTGACCTGCTCAAAGTTCAAAAACTTTATTAAACTAAGTTTGTATAAAAAGGGTTATTATAATATTAAGGAATTTATGGATGATAATAACCCCTGGAAATGAGGTGATCGCTACCAATCTATTTCTAATTTGTTGTGTTGTTAATTTGTGTAACATCATGATTGTAAGCTGTTATTTAAAAAAAAGTCCCGCTGGGTTTCTTGCTGGTTCTTCCCAGGACAGAGGTTTTTTCCGAACCAGTGGTAATCTAACAAAAGAGTGACTTTCAGTGAGTATTAGTTATAATCTATATTGAATAAACATATTTAAAAAAAAATAAACACAAAATTCACAGCTTATTCAGTCTAATATATCTGTCAGTAATTATTTTGTTGGCAAAATTTTAAAATACTTTGACGACAATCTCTACTCCGTGCGAATGTTTGATCACAGACTATTAAGTGTTTGACAATGGCCTTATAGTAATAACACAGGTAAATATGCTTGTACTTACTCAAACGTATTACTTAATTAAATAATACTGTTTGGTATGTACTTACATAAATTTTCTAAGCGATAATTATGTGTTTAACATTGACAGTATGAACGTAAACAATGTATATCCGGGCTACCGGCGGACCGGAGTGGACTACCCATAGTCGATACAGAACTGTCCGCAAGTTTTTTCGTGGGGGAAATCTGCGCACTTAAAAACAATAGTCTGTCACTATGAAACACAAACTAATTAAAACAATATACTAACAATTTCACACACGCATAGATATATTATAACAGTATCGCTGGGTGACAGCGTCTAGTGTTGCGTGAGTGATGCGAGTACAACTGCACTGTGATAAATAATCGGGGCAATATGCGGCTGCTCTTTTGAAAATAGGAGAAGATCGTGTGGCAACAGAAAGTAACGGTATAATTACTTTGAACACAGATTTCTGTAATATTAAAGACATAAAGATATTTATTCCTACACTTCAGATTACAATCACAAATTACAGTACAAAACACATATGATTTAAAAGCAACATCTATCTTGAACTAAAAATTAATATGAAGAACAGAGAATGGCAATATGAAAGAGCAATTTTAACACCGACAAATAAATTTTGGGGCAGTTCAAAGAACAAATCATGTCACCTGTGGAAGGTGATGTTGTCGAGTATCTGTCCGTAGAAAATGTCATGGGCACTGAGCAAGTATGTCATATGTAGTGTTTGCATATATGTAGTATACAGTAAATATTGTTATTGGTTTTATTTACTAATAATTTACCATGCACAAATACACAAACATACATTTATATATAAGTCACTGTCTCGAGCGCACCGCGTCAGTTACACGAGAGCCTCGGGCGAGAGTGGACGTGTTGTTTAGTTAAAGTGCGTGCCGAGCCTGTATTACACTACAGTGGTTAGAAAAGATAGCAGACATTACAAGTGGCGACGAGGAAAAAGATAAGTACCTATTTAGTATAAAGATATAATCAAAAATAGGTTAGCAATGTGCAACTATTAGCATTGCAATTGTAAATTAATTCCTAGATTACCCGCGGAAAAAAACTGTGAATTATAATTTATTGTTTTTAACCCTGTTCTGATCATTTTAATAATTTATATAAATTGTATGTTCGCATATGACCACGCTTATGGTGTGCAAAAAAATTATTTTCTTTATGTAGCAATGATAAAATAATGATTTATTTTAACATATGTCTATTAGCACAACTTTTATTTAAAAAAGATTTTTGATGGAAAAATAGTAGATGTTACTAATCACTCCTCTCGATTCGAACCGAAATACAATGTCGTTAGCTAAATTTTAGTGGCATTTTACATGTAGAGGTGATATTTATCGCCTTTAATGAAAATACTATTTTACTGCTTTCATGGCATCTATAAGTCTTACAAAAAAATCGTGGACACTTCACGACTTCTGTACATTGCAAAGTAGGTAACTAAACTCAAATTCAAACTCAAACATTTATTGCTAAACCATAATGTACACAAGATGTTATAAAATAATGTCAGACCAGTGTTATGGACCCTGTTGGGCACGCAATTTAGGGGCTAGGAGAGAGGAAGCCTATTTCACTACTTATAAGAATGTCATTGTGATTTATTGAGATAGAATTCAATTTAAATTAGTGATCATTTTGTAAAACCTATATAAATATTACATATTTGTAAAATTTCATTAGTACTATAGTAACTAACGTTTTAATTTTTTTTGTAAATATGATGTCATTATTTTCATTTTTTAATATGTCAGGTAGTTTAATTAACTACAATTTATACTAATTAACTATTATTTACAAGTAATACTGTAAATGCGCAATATAGGTATTGAATTCACCCACAGCCTAAATGGCACAGCAATGAAAGTAGTCGGTATAACAAATAAACCGAAAGAGAAGGGAGAGTGTTATGGAACATATTAATATCATTAAATTGAGTTTGGGTACAAAGATACCATCATCAAATTGAGTTGGGTACAAAGATACCATCATTAAATTGTGTTGGGTACTAAGATACCATCATTAAATCGAGTTGGGTACTAAGATACCATCATTAAATTGAGTTGGGTACTAAGATACCATCATTAAATTGAGTTCGGTACTAAGATACCATCATTAAATTGAGTTGGGTACTAAGATACCATCATTAAATTGAGTTATGTACTAAGATACCACCATTAAATTGGAGTTAGGGTACTAAGGTACCACCATTAAATTGGAGTTATGGTACTAAGGTACCACTATTAAATTGGACTTTGGGTGCTAAGTACTACCATTAAATTGGACTTTGGGTACTAAGTTACTACCATTAAATTTGACTTTGGGTACTAAGTTACTACCATTAAATTTGACTTTGGGTACTAAGTTACTACCGTTAAATTTGACTTTGGGTACTAAGTTACTACCATTAAATTGGACTTTGGGTACTAAGTTACTACCATTAAATTGGACTTTGGGTATTAAAATACCAGCATTAAATTGGAAATAAAGATATAAAAAACTGTTTCAGTTTGCCCCTAAAATAATAATAATAATGATACCGTTATCAACTTTAATGTGGTAGCACATCTATGGCTATAAGGTGTGGAAAATGAAAAAGGTCTCTACTAATCTATCTGGACGTAGCTGAAGTTATATCAGCACTCAAGAAACGAGCTACGCTATTGCATTTTGGTGGTTCTGGGATAAAAGAAATATTCTACAATTTACCAGGTGCCAATGTCGAATCATCAAAAACCGTTGATGTATTTTAAGTAGCCATAAAAAAAAAACTCTACGAGTATTTTCAACCTAAACGGAGCAAAGTTTATGAGCGGCATGTTTTTCGATTGCTAAAACAGAAAAAAGGAGAAACATTTGAGAATTTTTTGATAAGATTGCGTCAACAGGCCGAAAAGTGTGCATTCAAAAAGCAAGATGATCATTTCATAGATCAAATTGCGGAAAAGTGTAATTCGAAATTGCGCAAGAACCTTATATCTTACAAAACATGGGAAGAGTTAAAAAGCAAAAAAGTATATGCTTTTAATCAAATGTAAAGACCAGACAAGACATTATTAGCATATGGTAGTAACTCTCCTTTGGCAATAGAGGGTTCATTTGAAACTATACTCGAAGTCGATGGACGAAAGGAACATACAACCATTTACGTGATTTCGGGGGGTACTAGAAACCTGTTTGGTAAGAACACAGCAGTCCGACTGGGTGTCTTAAAACTTGGTATCGGGATAAATCAAGTGGAGAGTAAAAGCAAGCCGATCCCCTTTAAAGAGAAGGTTGCAATCAAAATTAAGGAATCACTAAACAGTTTGAATTGAAAAATTGAAGAAGTGCAAGGCCCGTCTAAATTGGTTTCACCAATGTTCCAATCATGAAAGAAAATGGTGAATTACGTTTGTGCGTAGATATGAGATGTACGAACGCCGTTATATTGCAAGAAAACCACCCCCTGCCTACTATGGACCATTTTTGCCTAAAATGAAGAAAGGTAAATATTTTAACAAATTAGACATAAAAAAATGCCTTCCATCAAGTGGAAATTCACTCTGAATCCGGACACATAACGACTTTTATAACCCCCAAAAAGATTATATAGATATAAAAGAATAATGTTTGGAATTACCTGCGCTTCCGAGATTTTTCAGAAGATCATTGAAAGGATGCTGATAAACTGTGAAGGGGTCGTCAATTTTATTGATGATATCCTGGTATTCGGGAACAGTGAAGAAGAACATGACGCATGACTAAAGAAAGTTCTACAGGTACTTAGTAAAAACAACGCCGTGCTGAATAGCAATAAATGCATATATAAAACGCAGGATGTGAATTTTCTGGGACACAGGCTTACACATGAAGGAGTAAACCCTTCAACAGTATGTTGAAGGGTTTAATAGTATGTTGAGAGGATTATGAAATTTAGGGTCCCAAAGACCA